CGCACGTGTGTCAAACTAGTGATTAAAAATGAGTAAGAAAAAAAAATAATGTTTAAAGAATGGTTGTCAAACGGGAGGCTTACTTAGGCTGAAAGGATATGTTGACTACAGTGCTCATTTTCGAACCTGGGACTCTGGATCGTGTTGAGGAGACCTTATCTGGGCGGCGCACCCCTATTCCTCTTAACAAGTTCAACTCAATTTAAGGGAGGAAAAATAAGATTATTACTAATTCCTCACATAAAAGATTCCCCTAATATTTTCGTAGAGAGAGAAAGGGGGAGAGGTCGAATTCTCTCTCTTCAAACTCGTCAATCCTACGAAGTAAGAGCGAGGAAACCCTAATCCTGTAACCTTTATTCGATGATTGATTCTATGTCTGTACCAATTATTAATCTATAGCAAACTAGTTGAATTGTAAAAGAACAATGGGGGAGCTAGGGCAAGAGACTGTGGATTTCAAGGCGCTGGTGGGCCGCGCCGCGACAGAGTCGTATGTATTGCTGAAGGAATTGGTGGAGAAATCTAAATCTGCTGAACTCTCTGACTCGGAGAAGAAGATTATGATTCTTAAATATATTGTTAAAACCCAGCAGCGAATGCTCCGTCTCAACGTCCTCTCCAAATGGTGTCAACAGGTCTCTCTCTCTCTTTTCCGTGGATACTCTATTCTATTTAATTTGTATCGAAATCTGGAAATTTTCTTGGAGCGTGGTTGTATTAATAGGAATTTGATATTACATATTTTTGGTGATTATTTTTCTTGTTATGTTTTTTTACTAGGGTATACTTTGTTTATTGTTTGGCTAGTTAGGAAAGAAACGAAATTTTTATGTGGTTTTTATTGAGCTAGGAAAAGCCAGTGATGTGGTACTTAGAGAGGTGCTATGATGGACTGGGTGCCAGGGAGAAAATAGAATTTCTATTAGATATATCACCATTATTAAAGATATGTAGTTATGAATGTGTGAGTAGTGCCCCTTTGTGTAGTTGAGAGAGCAATTCCGAGTTTGGAATCTAAAGGTGTTGGGCTAAATAGAATTAAGATATAATACTTGTTGTCACTTTAGTTATATTAAGAATTGGGATAATGTTAAGATACTATGGATGATCTCTTTGCCCTTGGAAGTTATTGTTTTATTTATGTAGTGCATAAGATTAGAGCGAGGTGGATGAGAGGTCAGTAGCTATGTTTGATGGTATAGTTCTACGATCCACTGACATGTTTCCGTTGCTAGCACACGTCGGATACCAACACGACTGTGACATGCTCCTGACATGGTCCGAGGTGCCTCATGGTGTGTATATATATTTTTTCCTGCTGCCGGGTGCTTGATGATATGTCACCAACCCATAGTGGTTGGGTTTTTGACATGCCGGGCTGAGAAAAGGTATTGCAAAAATAACTAAAAAAAAGAAAACTAACCTTTTATCTCAATACACGTGGAGATTAATGGTGTATTTCTTCATTTCCTCCCTTATGGCACTATTTTTAAGCACATTGGTCCCGGTTATCATCCGGCCGGCTATGGAGTTCATTCTCTCTCTCCTCAAACAGAAATATCTCTAGAAAACCCTAATTTTTAACTTTTTCCCTTGTGAGGCCAGAACATGCCTTCACTTAATGCAAACTAATTTTAATACATGTCTTCATTGCCCATTAAAATAAGTTGGTCAAATGTGTTCAAAAAGTCAGCCATTTTTTTATTTAAAATTGCCTTTTTAACCATTTAAAAATAATAATGTGCATATGTCCCTAAAAGTAACATGTCCTACATCTAAAAGCATCTCGCTCAATTCTTTACTGTTAGCTATACAAAAACTTTCCTTTAACATTAACCTCCATTTTCAATCATCAAAAAATCCCCCAAATTTACTTCTTATTTTTTTTTTTTGATGCGTCAAGTATACAAAATTTTATTTGCTTTGCATAAAAATAAAAATAAATTAATTAACATGTCGGCGATTTATTGTGTAACTATATTTTTGAAATATTATGTGTCGACGTCTTGTCGAACACTTGTGTGTCGGTCTAACATAGTATTGAGTGTTGGGTTTTCAAGCCCAAAATGTATATAAGATTAATGCAGCGGATACGATGATGCTAAAATGGATCTGGGGTTGTACTAAAATTGAAATGATGAGAATACAAGACAAGTGGAGGCACCCATTGAGGAAAACTTAAAGGAAGGACGACAGTTGGTAGGGGGTATGTATTGCGTAGACTTAGAAGTGGCTCTTTTTTGTAAGAGCGACGTTAAGGTGGTTGGACATGTTATGATAGTGTCCGAGACACCATAATTAGGAAGTAGGTCAATTTTGTATGTATATTTGCCAATTGGTTGACTAATTTTGAAAGGTCATCAGCTCTAGGATGAAACTTTGTATACTGAAAAACTGTTCCTTCCGTACAAGAAACGAAATTAAATCATCATCTTTTGTGAGATATTATCTCACCATGTAATACTTAAGAAGAGTGTCATTCTTCTTTGGTTAGAGAAAACCGGACCTGGTCTTTTTTGTACATTTAGCAAAAATGTCATTAGCTTCTTGTTGAATCTCCTTATGCTTTGAGCTTATCCTACAAGATTGCTTGTTGGAAAAGATGCTTCTAATATAAAATAAACCCAATGCTAATATGAGTTGTTGGTGGAAGGTCTTGTGGCCCGCGTGGAATCTTTTGAAGTATAATAACATCTAATAGTTTTGTATGAGATGTTGCCTTTCTTGCTTATATGTTCGATCACCTATTTATTACTTGAGTTGATGAGTTGAAATGGTTTGAATAGTTCCCTCCGTTGTTTTAGTTGTTTCGCTCATCTCCTAAACTCTTGAATCACAAGACTGTGCAAAGTTCTTTTTCATGAGCACATTCATCAACAATTTGACCACGACAACCAAATGCCGGGTTGGATAAGAATGAACGAAAACAATCTAATGGAAAAATAAGATAGCTCACCACCTACGTAACAACACTTGAGGGATATAATTATCATCACCGGAAGGAATGTAACAAGGGATACACGGTAGGGAACTCACCACTCAAAGGAACCCCCCAAATAATTCCAAAGAGAGACCAAAATTTTAAGAGAAGGATAACACCTCTAAAATGAAGTAGATTAAATTCAAACTATCAAAGATTGCAATTTATACTGATAGTATGAGCATGCATGTATTTTCTTATGTCATGTGTATACATGTAGGGGAGCATTCCTCCTACCAAATTTTTGACATATAATTTTGACAATTAATTTGAACATTTAAATTTAAGTTAATTCAACGGTCTCTAACAATTATATTAAAAGCATTTAAAATTTATCTCCCCACATCTAATATACCCTAATTACTTTTTAAAAATCATCAATTACCTTTCAAGAAGCCTTTTTTTTAAAGGGGAAAAAGGAATAACCATCCTAATTCTTTTCTCATCTTCTTCACTACCATCTCCTTTTTTTCATGAAAATAGAGAATAACCTAATTGAAGCATTTTGTATTGGCCATCTGAAACCAGGATGGTTCCATTTTCAGTGAAGGAAATAATGTCGAATTGGGTTGGTGCAGAAAAATGAAGTGCCAAGTTTCCAGAACCCTTCTTCTACAAATAATGATAAATTATGCAACATTATAAGTGCCAACAAATATCTGTAGGAACCTCTCAATGGGACCAAAAGCAGATCACAGAATACAGCATAAGACCAAAGTCATCAACCCATCCTCCAGGATTCAGCAGCTAATGCATGTGATTAGTACAAAGGCAAACCAAACTAATAATAAGCATCCAAGGCCGTTGGAAATTCATGAAACTATAACTGAAATCTTTGAAGCCGATGAGAGAATAATCGGGATGGTGATTCTTTTTTTTCCTTTGAAAAAAAAAATGCTTCTTAAAAGGTAATTGATGATTTTTGAAAGGTAATTAAGGTATGATTAGATGTGGAGAGATAAATTTTAAAGGATTTTAATATAACTGATGGAGGCCGTTATATTAGCTTAAATTTAATTGTTTAAATGTCAAAAATGTTGGTTGGGGAACGTTCCCCATGCATGTTTCCTATAGTGTTTGAACCTGAATCCTACTAATACATTACATTCATCATCCTTCATTGGTAGATAATAATTGTGGAATACCAATGTTCATTGTATTCTTTATTTTTCAACTATCATTTCTCATGTCTAGAATAACACGCTTATGAGTATAGTGTGACTTTACTTTCTTCTAGGCTAGTAAATGACTCTCCTATGTCATTTACTCAGCACTTAGTACATAACATTCTTTTAACACATTCCCTATCAAGAAAAAGGTTTATATTTATATTTCCTCATTTTTACTGTCCATTCAAATAGCTTCCCTTACACGTCTGGTCATAGATTTACTTGTGTCGTTTTGATTCTATATATTTAAAAATACATTATTGTTGGTGTTTCCTTGTCAAATTCATTCAGGGTATGCATGTATGTCATATATTTCAATAGATGAAAAAAATATCTTCAGTGAAAGGTTACAAGTGGCTATCTCAACTGCATTTCCTTTGCAAATCCGTGTTCCTTGACTTGCAGGTTCCTTTGATACGATACTGTCAGCAACTTGCTTCAACTCTATCAAGTCACGATACATGCTTCACCCAAGCTGCAGATTCAATGTTTTTCATGCATGAGGGGCTACAACAAGCTCGTGCTCCCATATATGATGTTCCGTCTGCAATTGAGGTTCTTCTTACGGGAACTTACCAGCGTTTGCCTAAATGTATAGAGGATGTGGGTACACAGGGCACGTTGAATGCAGATCAGCAAAGTCCAGCTTTGAGGAAACTAGATGCACTTGTTAGGTCTAAGTTACTTGAAGTTTCACTTCCAAGAGAAATTACCGAAGTCAAGGTTTCTGATGGCGTCGCTTTGCTTCGTGTTGATGGTGAATTTAAGGTTCTGGTTACCCTTGGTTACCGAGGACATTTGTCAATGTGGAGGATATTGCATTTGGAGCTGCTTGTTGGTGAGAAAGGTGGGCATGTGAAGCTGGAAGAGTCGAGACGGCGTGCTCTTGGAGATGATTTTGAACGCAGAATGGCTGCCTCGGAAAACCCATTCATGACATTATATTCCATTCTTCATGAGCTTTGTGTTGCCCTCGTTATGGACACTGTAATAAGACAAGTGCAAGCACTTAGGCAAGGCAGATGGAAAGATGCAATTCGGTTTGAGCTGATATCTGATGGGAGTAGTGGACAGGGAGGGAATGCTAGCTCGACCCAGATCACTCAGGATGGAGAAACTGATTCAGCTAGTTTACGAACTCCTGGATTAAAAGTTATATATTGGTTGGATTATGATAAAAACTCAGGCACATCTGGCACAGGAACATGCCCATACATGAAAATTGAACCTGGTCCAGATTTGCAGATAAAGTGCCTTCATAGCACATTTGTGATTGATCCTCTGACTGGCAGGGAGGCTGAATTTTCCCTTAACCAAAGTTGCATTGATGTGGAAATGTTGTTGCTCAGAGCTATTTACTGTAATAAATATACTCGCCTTCTTGAGATATGTAAGGAACTGGAGAAGAATGACCAGATATGGCAAGCTCCAGGTGATGTCCAACTTCAATTCTGTACAGATGAATGTGATGCTGACAACAAAAAGGTTAGATTTGTAATATGCATGCTATTTTCATTTCTGTTTTTCTGTTAAATTTAATGTTATATAAATGACGCATCTAAGTGGGTGTGGCATGTTAAATATATATTTATGTTACCCTTGATTTATAGATCATCTGACTAGCTACCATTTGAGTTCATTATTGTTAAAACTTAAAAGACATGTTCAAATGGAGTTGCCAAAACAATCAAGAAGAAAAAGAAGAGAATTTGTCTAGCACAACTGTGAAAGAACTGTTCAAAGGATTGTTCTTAACCTATCAATTTTCCCGTGAGTAAATTCACAAGGTGATTTAGGACCAGTTTAAGGATAATATTCTTCTCTGTTGTAGAAAAAGGATTGTTTATGTTTATCAAGTAAAGATCACGTTTGCAACTATGTATATTTATTTTTCTGAAAATGTAGCCAACAATTGGAGAGAGAGCTTTAGATTATGGGCAACAGCTTAAGAGCTGGAAGAAATATTAGGAGTTAAACAGTGAGGGTTCATCAAAAATTTGGAAAATTGAAAGGAGAAGCTTCTTGGGTTGCAGAGATATATAGATGTTACTATTAAAGATGATGAAGCACAATGAAGCAGAAGTAGAAGACTAGCAGAAATTTAACTGGTCTCGAGCTCGGCTAAAAATGCAAAAATAATATTTCAATTGACTTTCTACTTGCTACAAATATATAAAAAGATAGGACTTGGTGGGATAGACTGAACCTTGCAAACTTGTCAAAAATGGAGCCAAGCTTAAATACATGGCTTTGAATGGAGTCCAATGATCCTAGCACCCAACCTTAGCCTTAATTGGCTAACATGACCATCACTTAAAAACTATTCGAAATACGATATCAAATCAAATCGAGACCTCTCAGAACATGGTAAGCGATCATGTATGCGTGCGTTTGGTCCATAATGTTGTAACTGAGGTGGGATCAAGGTTTTTATCCTAGGTTTATCATCATCGGTAGGGGACCTGTCGATACCACCTTATACAGGGCAAAGCGTAGACATTATGTTGAATACAAAACAACCTTGATTTTAATTTTGTGATGTGTTTGATCTTCTCCTTCTCCTTTTGGCTTAGGTTTCTGTCAGAAAGAGAGAGTACAAATTTTCTTTTCTGGGGCTGGATGTCACAGTCATTAGCAGAGTAGATAACAACATGCTAAACTTGCATTTTAAGTAAAACCGTTCAAGGATTATAAGAACGTAGATCTCTTGTTCTCTCTTTGCTAACCATTTCTTTTTGTATGATATTGAGCCTGCCATTTTTGGGGAGTCATCTGTATATTCTTTAGTAAAGGGGGTTCCTACTTCCTAACAAGAAATGGGGGCTCAAGTACTAAATTATTATACTGCTTGTTTGAAAATAATGGTAATAATAGAATTCTGGTACTGGAGAACCCTAAAGTATTTTAAGGATCTTTACATATCTTATTAGTAGCTAAAGTGTAATACGCGATGTTGTAGCTCAAATGGCTTCGCACTCCTAAAAGGGGATTATAGCAAAAACTTCTTTAGGAGTCTCTTCTCTGTAGCAAATAGTGACGTAGTGGTTTGACTGGTTTCCCTTAAACAAACATTTGTATAACCCTAAACCTGGACCCATTTTACAATTTATTAGTCGAACCCTTGGGCACGCGTCCCGTGCTCCTTCAGTGCAAAATTGTACTTAGGGTGTGTTTGATTGATATTATTGAGGAAATAAAATATTTTAAATAGTGATACGATGGAAATATACGGTTAAAAAGTAAGGAAAAATTATTGATGTGATGAAAAATATTATTTTATTGAAAAATATGTGTTTGAAAATGAGTTTTGAAAAAATGTATTTTCAAAGAATGTGTGTCAAACAGGGACTTAGATCAAAAAGGTAAATAGATAGCCAAATATTACATTCACAGTACTTATAAAGTATTTTAGAATAACGTGCAACGCACGTTCAACTCTGACTAATTTAATCAAAAATCAGGTATTAATTAAATTATTAATAATATTATAAAATTTACCAACCACTCCCACCTCGCCCACCCCCCATTACAAAACCTAAAATATTTCGCATCCCCTCTTTCTCCCCCTCACTCCTCTCACGGGCCACCTCCGAGGTGGCTCTCATATAGCGTAGCGATGATGATGGAAAAATCACTACTGTGCGCCGAATCTTCTCTCTCCGTCTCAATCTTCTCTCACGGGGTTACCTGTCGAGCGGAACGACAATGATGGAAAAATCGCCGCTGTACGCCTGAACTAAAGCCCTATACGAGGTCACTGCGCGGTTGCATAGATTCATCAATGGATGACGTCGCTGGCTCTTGATCTGCTATTCATCCACCCATCACCATTGCTCGACAAAATCTGGTGCTCGACAGCACTGCGTGTGATATGTGACGGTGGTGTCATGGTGGTGGTTTTTGTTGGATTTGTTTGTTTTTGGAGTGGTGCGTAATGTATGATGGTGGTGCCATGGTGGTTTTTCATGTTTTTGTGTTGGTGTAGTTTTTGTTGGCGATGGTGTCAGTGTTGTTGGTGGTGGTGGTGTTGCCGTTGTAGTTGACGTTGGTGGCAGTTGTGGTGGTGGTGCGGCGACGGAGTCGAAAGAAGAGAGTTTGTGACCAACTATTTAATTGAATTGTGATCAAGTATTGGTGGTCGATTGAGATCGGGATCAAAGGTGGTAGTGGGGTGTTTGGTCTATGTGACCAACTATTTTATTATTTGTGACCAACCATTTAATTGTGATCTAAAAATTATATAATTTGTGACTAAAAAATGACTTGTAACCAACGAATAAATTGTGACTTATAATTTTTTTGATTTGTAATCGTGAAATAATCTGTGACCAATTAATTTGATGAAACATGACCAATAAATAAGTTGTGATCTATAAGTACATAACTCTGACCATTGATTGTATAATTGTGACCTTAATATATTTCATTAATAAAATATTTTTAATTATTTATTTACCACCCAAGTTTTGAATTTTGAAAAATATAACCTGGAAATTGAATTGGTAATATTTAATGCCTGAGTTGTGCATTTTTCTCGCAAGTGAAAATTACATATCAACGGGCATTTAAATATATACCAGTTCAGTTTCCAAAGATTAAGTTCAAAATTCCAAACGTTAGCTGTTAATTTAATATTTTAATTTTAAATAATAATATTATCGAATTAAATTAATCTACACACTCACCCCACCCCACACTCACACACTTGCCCACTGCCATTCCCTCGTACAGTTGTTGACATCCACCCTTTGCTGGCAGCCACCATCATAGTTATCGACATCCATATAATTTCACCGGATGAAAGACAGAATCTACAGAGATCTTCGGTGACTTCTTCAGTAGCGAACTGATCGTCAACAACCGAGGAGTGTTGGTGTAATTTAAATCTATTTTTAAAAATTAAAAAACAACCCATGGTATAATTTATAGAGTACTCACCAGCATAAATAACTTGAATGCTCACCATTGAAATCTAGTTAATTGAATTTGGACAATTTCGGAGAATTGAGGTAAGAGATACCAGTAGCATGTGAGCAGAACTCTTGAATTTGTAACATATAACGTATGCACTTTGACTATTGTTACATATAACCTGTAACCCTATGCACATTGGTGTGTGACCAATTTTAATTGATATGAGACACATCATAGTGACATGTGGACATTGATCTATGATCAATGCACAGTGACCATTGATATGTGACTTATACAATATTACTTGGACATACAAACATGATATGTGACCAGCTTTATTTGATCTGTGACCTATGAATATTTTCCGTGACCTATGACCAATCACCACAACGGGCATGACCAATACTCTATGAACATATGACCTCAAGCACCATGCCACCATCACTACAATGCCACCCCAAATACCACTTCAAAACCACCACAGAACAGCCTCAAAAACTACCACATACCATTGTAAAACCACCATAAAATTACCAACAATCGCAACACAAACTGTTGCAAAACCACCACAAAAATTATCAAAAATCACCACTGTTGCAAGCAACACTCTAAGCCTGCTCAGATCGTTGTAGATCGTGCGGCGCTCAATTCGTCGCTATCGTAAAAACTGATAAAGAAGAAAAGAAATTGGTAGAGAGAGAGAGAGAGAGAGAGATCGCGCACTATTTCTGGAACCGATGAAGAAGAAAAGAAATGGGTAGAGAGAGAAAGAGAGTGTGAGAGAAAGAGAGTAATTTTGATTGAATACCCGATTTTTGCTCAATTAAACTTCATACCTGATTTAAGAATAGCAGTCTTTAAAACCCCGACTGAGATGTAATTTCAACAAATTCAACAATTAGAGCTTGTTTGGAAGAGATTTTTGGGGGAATAATTGATTTTGAATAGTGATATGATGGGAAATGTGTGGTTGAAAAAGAAGAAAAAATTATTGATGTGATGGAAAATATTATTTTATTGAAAAATGTGTGGTTGAAAATAGCCATCCCCTGGACAGCTATGGTGGGTTATACAGGGCAAAGCGTAGACATTATGTTGAATACAAAGCAACCTTGATTTTAATTTTGTGATGTGTTTGATCTTCTCCTTCTCTTTTTGGCTTAGGTTTCTGTCAGAAAGAGAGAACACAAATTTTCTTTTCTGGGCCTGGATGTCACAGTCATTAGCACAGTAGATAACAACATGCTAAACTTGCATTTTAAGTAAAACCGTTCAAGGATTATAAGAACGTAGATCTCGTGTTCTCTCTTTGCTAACCATTTCTTTTTGTATGATATTGAGCATGCCATTTTTGGGGAGTCATCTGCATATTCTTTAGTAAAGGGGGTTCCTACTTCCTAACAAGAAATGGAGGCTCAAGTACTAAATTATTATACGGCTTGTTTGAAAATAATGGCAATAATAGAATTCTGGTACTGGAGAACCCTAAAGTATTTTAAGGACCTTTACGTATCTTATTAGTAGCTAAAGTGTAATACACGATGGTGTAGCTCAAATGGCTTCACACTCCTGAAAGGGGATTATAGCAAAAACCTCTTTAGGAGTCTCTTCTCTGTCGCAAATAGTGACGTAGTGGTTTGACTGGTTTTCCTTAAACAAACATTTGTATAACCCTAAACCTGGACCCATTTTACAATTTATTAGTCGAACCCTTGGGTACGCGTCCCGTGCTCCTTCAGTGCAATTTCCTAGTAAGGTTTCATGCTATAGTCATATTACAAGATTTTTCTAATACAGAATGATATCTAGCCTGCTTTCCTTTAATTTTCTGAAGCATTAATGGGATGCCGCTGTTTGACGCTTTAAAGCTTGTTTGTGAAGTGTTTATATACAATTTAAATTATAAAATAGATAGAAATGAGTGGAGGTGTGGTCCCATGAAATGTGTGGATAAAAAGTGATTTGACCCATTATAAACATTAGCCAAACATTGGCTTAGTAATGTGGGCTCTTTATTATTTCTTGCTCTTAGTATCTATGGACTTATGAGTATATTTGATGCAGAGGCTAGACAAAATGGCACTTAATTGAATATAGATTTGCGAATGAATCCTAAATTTATCTAATTTGATGATATCTTGTTTTCAATCTTTGCAGTCTGATTAATTTTTATGCGTGGGTGCATATTTTTATTGTTTCAGTTTTTGGAATGTGATTTTAATTTTCTTTGAACAGAAGGACGATACATTCAGTCCCCAGAAGTATGAAGGTGGGGAAGTTCTGTGTGTGCGTGCCTATGGTTCATCATTTTTCACCCTTGGAATAAACATAAGGTTTCTACATTTTCTATTTTACCTTCTCTATCTCCACTTGCAATATTTTTCCATAATAAATTGTAAACTTCTATTGCTATCTGTTATATGGTCCTTGGAAGTTTAGTTGTTACCTGTAGATTACAGGTCAGAATGGTAAAGTGTTGTGCCATGTGTGGTGTTTATGCTTTGTAGCCCCTTATTATTTACCGGGCAGGGAATCTTTTCATCATATGCATCTGTGAACTGCCAATAAACTGCTCTGTTTGTTGAACATAGTTTTATGTGCTGCTATATCATTATGGTTTGCTGAGATATGTCCCTGGTGAACTCATTTATGCGTCAACAGGTGTGTTTACAAGTAATTTGTCACATTTGGATGTAGACATGTAGGTCCGAGTGGGAGTGTGAAGCCTCTTGAGCTGAGCTGATGAGTCAGAGTTGATTGTTTGATGAGTTTTGAAATTGAGTTCAAGTTTGGATTGATGTTCTAAGGGAATTAATCTTAACTGAGTTTTAATCAAGTTGATCCTGAGTCGACTGGAGTAGATTTGGCATCTTTCCATGCATTATCTTATTAATTAGGTTGCAGCGCTGAGTTTGATAAGTTGATGAGCTATATAATATGTGTTACAACTTGGCTTCTTAGCTTTGAACTATGAAATGAACCTTTTTTGAGCGATCTATAGTTGAAATCCCGATCGGTTTACTTTTCAATCCTAGGTTCTAATATCTGACCATGCTTCCTTTAGGAGAAATAAAAGTTGACAGCTTTGATATTCTAGGTATTGGGAGTTACTGTTATAATCTTCTAGTTCTCAAGGAGATATTAGTTAGATCTTCTAGCTTTTTGGGAGACATTTCTTTGCTGGCTCTAACTTAATTGATTGTACTAGTTGTTGGCATCATGAATAAATCTTTTTTCATGCCTTTTGCTGAGAATAATTCCAGTTATTCCTTTGCGTTGCTATAGGTCACGAGCGACACCTATAATGTATGCTATGGCCACATAAATATGATGAACGGAAATTTTCATGAACCATTTTGCTATAGGATACCTTGTAATCCGATCCTTTCATAATAGATTGCCCCATTGGATGAAACGTACTCATGTGCATTGAATCTCTCGTTTCTTATATGAAATGGAGACTATGACCGCCAAATAGTGATGAATAAAAAATTTCACGATCAATGATGCTATAGTGTACTGTGTTATTTGATATTTTCTTATAATATCCCTATCGGATGAAGATCATATTTTCTTCAAGAATAGCAATCCAATCATATTACGTATCCAAATAGACATGTTTCTGATAGAAATTAGAGCTTTGTGTAATTTCCTCTGGGCTTGGTCGAGAATTTATAAGCCATAATCATTCCTATATTTCATAGGACATTCTCCTTGTTGTACCAAGTCGATGAAATTTAATGTTATACACTATCATGTCTCCATTAATATACAATGAGCTGCTATTGTCTTAGTACAGACGTTGGCTAGAGCAAGTCTATTATGCCATAATAAACCACATAATCCATACGTGAGGCAACCTTGGTGCCTTAGTTTCAATTTAAGGTACAAAATTCATGATAAACCGCATAGATTTATAACAGGACAACCATGGTGTTTTAAGTTCAATTATGGTACAAATATATATTAAGCCACTATCACTTGATTAGTCAGATAACAGCTGTCGCCTATGGAAATTTGTTTGGTCGTAGAAGGGCTTCTGTTTCCTGAACTAGGGCCTCAGTTTCTTCCTCTAACTTGCAGGAATGGTCGCTTTCTTCTTCACTCATCCAAAAATATTATATCATCGTCAGTGCTGCTAGAGTGTGAAGAAGCTTTGAACCAGGGAAGCATGACTGCAACAAAAACTTTCATCAACTTGCGGAGCAGTGCTATTTTGCACTTGTTTGCTTGCATAGGCAGGTTCTTAGGCCTTGAGGTATGTTCTGCACTCCAGGATTCTTTTATTTTTTGAATTGGAATTGCAGTCTGGAACTTCAATGATTAAAAATGTTGAAGTTTTGTACTTCTGTCGTCGTTTAAAATTCTTTCCTGTGATTTCAATTGACAGTCTCCTCTAGGTATCTAATTTATTTGCTTATGATTCCTGCATCAATATGGTGCTAATCTACAGAGATGAATATGAATGCAACTAGAAGACAAGTTGGTTGACTTCAATTGAACACATTAATGGTCTTGCCATTTTGATGCGTATCTCCCTTCACTATCATATATAATAGAAACTTCCTAATGAAAGTGTTCGGACATATTTAAATTTTGTTAAATAACTAATTGTGTGTCTTCAATTGTTCTTCAGGTATTTGAACATGGTTTTACTCCAGTGAAGGTGCCAAAGAACATTTCAGATGGTTCAAATTCATTAATATTGGGATTCCCAGAATGTGGGAGCTCTTACTTTTTGCTGATGCAACTCGACAAGGAATTCAAACCACTTCTCAAGTTAATAGAAGCTCAGGCAGATTCCATAGGGAAAGGTCGACCTATCGATAACATGAATAATGTCATTCGAGTAAATAATGTCGATATTAGTCAGATGAACATGTGTGAAGACGAACTCAATTTGAGTCTTCTTGACCATAGAAAGATCCTTACAATACTTAGTGATGTTGACGGTAGCCGAATTTCTGAGCGTGGTCCCTCTGACTCCAGCAATGAGAGTTTCGCGCTTCGACCTAATCTGCCATTAAGTTTTTCCTCCATTGTTGATGAGGTGTTTGAACTTGAGAAAGGGTCAAATGCCCCTTCTTTTTCTGGGCATGGTTCCTTTTCAAATTTTGGCACATCTTTCACATCTCATTTTGGCTTGGGTCCT